CCCCCCAGGGAAGCAGATGATCGAGACCTACTTCGACTTCCGGCTGTACCGCCTCTGGAAGAGCCGCCAGCACTCTAAGCTGCTGGGCTTCGACGACGTCCTGTGAGGAGCCGCCCGCCTTGCCTGGGGTCCTGGGGCCGCAGAGCTGCTTCAGGTCCCCACGCTGCTCAGGTCCTCTCTGGCGTGGCCTGGTCCTCACTGTGCCGAGGGCCCTGGAGGCCTGTGGGCCGGTGGGAAGCTTCGCCCTGAGGCCCCTGGATGCTCACCGCCAGGCCCCGGCTGGCCCGTGCCTCGCCCTCGCCTAGAGGCTGCAGCACCGCCTAGGAACAAGTGCAGCCCTATGCCCGACCCGCCAGGGGAGCAGCGCCAGGGGCCACCTGGTCAGGCCCTCTGCTGCTGATTCTGGCACCGGCGGCACTCGGCGGCCCGGCGGGTGCTCAGCACCCCGTGCCCTGTACCTGATCACCAGCACCAGGGTGGCTGTCTGAGGCTGGCGTCACCCCGCCTGGCGTCCACACTGGCCGAGGCTCTTACTGTGTGTGCTCTCACCCCTGTAACCACTCCCCTGCTTACTCTGACCTCAGCCACGCCAGCCCAGCCAGCGGCCTGGGTAGCAGGAGACAGGGACCTGGCCTTCCCTCCCCCCAGCCCAGCCCCAGCTGCCGGACCATCCGGCTCGCCTCGCTGCTGTGCAGCCTAAGCCCAGATCCTGCCCAGCACACACGGCCTGGGGCTTGGCGGGGCCCTGCCGGGGCTGCGCCCTGGGCGGTGAGCCCCTCTCCCTGCACTACTGGGGGGGTGCCTGGACCCAGCACCCCAGCCCCAAGAGCCAAGTAGCTAGTGGCCGGGGCCCGGCTTGGCATGGGGCTTCCTCCGTTGCCAGGGCCTTGCAAGGCACGCTCTCTTGTACATAGCTGGGGCCTGGGGGCAGGCCCCCCTTTGGTAGAGCCTGGGTCTGAGGACACCTGGCTGTGTCCCTGGCCAAGGGAGGGCCAGACAGTGCTGGACTCTGAGCAATGTACGATCCCCTAGAGTGACCATTAAACCCGACCTCCGCTGCGACCGCTGCTTGGCTCTTTTGGTGTCCCCTGTGCCCGCCCAGGCTGGACAGAGTTGGGCTGGAGGACGCGGTTGTGGGAAGGGCTGAAAGCAGACTGTGTATTCCCCTGCCACTGCCTCCTCTGGCCCTGGGCACTGATGGCTGCCCACCCCAGGGGGTGACCCTAGGGCCAGCTGGACCCACTAAAGCCACGGAGGCTTAGGGAGGGCAGAGTGGCCACCGGTGTCCACATGGACAAAGCGCTCCTACCTGGGAGCCATACAGCCGGTGGTTGCCCCCTGCTGGGTCCTGGGGATACAGAGTTTGAGGAACACACAGGCCTCCGGGCTTAGGCTTAATTGCACACACTTAGATGTGGGGTGACTTGGGTCACTCATGCAGCCTGTGGGGACGTCCCAGCCGGGGCTCCACGTGACAGGATTCGAGACCCCACACCCACATGTTGCTCAGAGGTGGGTGTAGGCATCACCTGCCCTCCTGAGCTCTCAGCCGGACCGACAGACACGGCCCTGCCAGGCTCTACCAGACCCTGCTCCAGTCCGTGGTCAGCCCTCGTGCCCACTGCCTGCAGTGGAACACGCTCAGCACACATGAAGGCAGCACGCAGCGCGGGCCCCGCCCTCCACCCCCACCTGCGGCCCAGCACAGGAGCTGCCAGGATGGGAAATTGGCGGTGGTGGTGGGCCTGAGAGCTGCAGGGCACACCGGAGTGCACGGAATCCTACCCGGCGGCCACGGGCGGGACTTGGTGCCTTGAAATATGCGGTGCACATGTGGGTGTGTGCCCAAGAACTGGGGAGGAGAGTGGAGGAGAAGGAATTGTGGAGGGGCTGTCCCCCTGGGGGTGATTCCTCATTTCCCTTTTCACTGATTCTCCCCCCAACCTAAGGCAAAAAGTTTTATACACCATGAAAAGACAAGCCAGTAGGAGAAAGCGAAGTGCAGAAGTAACTGGCAGGGGCAGAGACCGGGCAGCCAGTAGGTCCTTGGGGGAAGTCAGGAATTGAACAGCCAACAGGTGACAGGCCATCGCTTCCTGCCTGTGAGTTTGGCAGAAATGGTAAATGGTTAACACCACCCTGGCCGGCGAACACGTGAGGAGGTCACCACAAATACACGAATTGCCAGAGCCTTTTCAGACCACACTGTCCCATCAGCTCTGAAGCACAAGCCTGCGTACCCTCCCTTCGGCCTCGCTCCTCGGGCATAGCTGGCCGTGCGGTGGCTGCCAGGGCGGACACAGGCTGTCCTGGAGGCTGAGAGCTGAGGAGCTGGCCAACCGCAGGAGGCCCACGTGGCACCTGCTCAAAGCGAGCAGGTCATAGCCAGTGGGGCGGCTGCTGTCCACCTCCCCCAGCCCGCAGCAGGCCCGGCCTGGAAGGGGGGCCTGGGTGTGGCCTAGAGGGAAGTTCTGTCAGGCGAGTGTGTCTCGCATGCTGACGTGGTCCTGGGGGGCAGACAGGCTCCCTCAGAGGTGTCATGAGCCCTGCCCCTCCCTCCGCGGAGGCATGTGACCTGAGTGGCCAGCCGGCTGTTCCCAGCCCCTCCACTGGGCGGCGCAGAGGCTGCGGAGTTCCGTGTGCTTGTCCAGTGGCGCGGAGGCCGGGCACACACCGCGGGACAGCCCTGTGGTGCAGCGGAGCCATGGCCCCACTCGCTATCTCTGCCGTCGCTCCCTGCTGTGCAGTCTCTCCGAGGCTCTTCTCTCGCATCGTTTTCGGGGTCATCATGGCTGCTCAGTCTGGTATGCGGCTCTTCTCTCATTGGCACTGTCTGGCTGACTGGGACCCCCACCCCCAGGCCGCAGCCCTGGGTCACCTCGAAGGCCGTTTGGTGCTGACCTGCGGTCCCACAGGTGGAGGGCTCAGGCCCTAGGCTGCCCGTTTCTGACAGGCTGGCTCTGCACTGGGGTTCTGGTATATAGGACCGACCCCTTCGGGCTCCATCTCTGCTAGTGTGGCTCACAGAACCCAGAAACGCCTGCATTTGCCGGCCTGCTAGAAACGGTGCTTCAGGGAGACAAAGCAGAAAGACATAGAAGGGACAGGGCATGGGGCTCACGCCCTCCCTGGGTGCACCACCCTCCAAGACCACCTGTGCTCAGTTCTTCTATCTGGAGCTCTTCAGCCCCGTCCTTTGGGGTTCTGTGTAGAGTCCGTGGCACAGGCTGGACGGAAGCACGGGCGACCATGGGAGGTGACTCACCAGAAGGACCTGAGCAGAGCGGGTGAGCAGCACTGCACAGGTACATGGAGCTTCTATTCAGGATGGGCCCCTGGCAAGCTAGAACAGGAGGGAACTTCCTCAGCTTGATAACGGGTGCCTACGCAACACATCGATGGTGAACACAGTGCTTTTCCTTAACACTGGGGTAAGTCAAAGATGTCCATTCTTACCCTTCTGCTGAACATGGTACTGGACGTCTTAGCCAGTGCAATAAGGCAAGAAAAAGTAATAATATAATGGAAACAGGGGCCAGCAGATGGTGTGGAGGTTGGGACCACTGTATCCCACATGACCACCTGAGCAGTTCAAGTCCTGGACCCAACAGCTTAAAAAACACACTGGGGATAGGGTGGGGGCCGGCTACTGGTGTGGTAGTTAGAAACTGAATTCACATGGCTGACCATGGTTTGAGTCCTGGACCCAGTGGCCTGAAAATAATGCCAAGTCTGTGTATGTGCGTGCCCAAAAACCCAGACAGAGAGTGGAGGAGAAGGGATTGTAGCGTGGCCATCCACCCTGGCGGGGATTTCTTACTTTTCCTCTGTCTCTCTATAGCAAGTGCACATACTCGATAGCAAACTAAAAAATAATGCTACTAAAGGAATTTTGAACAACAGGAGGCAGAACGCTTTTGGAGAGGAGTGAATGAAGCCATTCCTATTTATAGACAATGATTGTCTTCATCAAAATCCTAGGAAACCTACACACAAATTCTTACAACTCACGAGTGAGCTCAGCAAGGCCGTGGGGTACAAAGCCGATACACAAAACCAATCGGACATCTATACACTACTAAAGACCAATTGGAAACTGAGTGTAAGAGCAGCAGTACTCGCAGGGCCAGCAGGTGGCGTGGTGGTCAAGATACTGGACTTCCACATGGCCAACCAAGATGTGAGTCCTGGATCCATCCACTTGAAACTCATTTCGGGTGCGTGTGCGTGCGTGCCCAAGATCCCGAGAAGAGAATGGAGGAGAAGGGATTGCAGCGTGGCCATCCCCCTGAGGGGTGATTTCTCGCTCTCTGTCTCTCTGTCTCTTTCTATCTCTCTGGTGAACACATGCACTCTATAATAACAATAAAAAAACTCTCAAACAAAGCAAAATTAAACACTGCTGCTGGACCAGTAGGTGGTGTGGTGGTGAAGGCAGACATGCCCAAAATCCCAGGAGGAGGCTGACGAGTGGAGAAGGGATTGAAGCATGGCCATCCACCCTGGGAGGTGATTTCTCACTCTCTCTCTCTCCATCTCTCTGGTGAGTGCACACACCCTACGGCCAAAGGAAAACACACCACCCACTGTAGGCTCCCACCACAAAGTGCCCGTGTGGCTAACAAGACATGCACCGAGTCTGTTAACTGGAAAGCATTCATGAAAAAGGCTCTTTTGAAAACCCAAGTAAATAGAGAGACACATTTTGTGATGCCACTTCTGCCCAGGGACCATAGGTTTGATGCAATAGCAACAGAAAAGGACCATATTTTTATATTTTGGTTGATACAGAGAGGCTGATTGTGACATTTATATGGATGGGCAGAGGGGCTAGAATAGCTAAGGACAGTTTTGAAACGGAGGAGTGACTCAGAGGACTCTGCACTGTGCAGTTCTGAGGTTGGACATGTGACCACAGTGATCAGGACAGAGCAGGGACGAGAGAGCAGTCTGCAGAGAGACCGGCAGCAACCTGGCTGATGATCTTTTTAAAAATCTGTTATTATTCTTCGACCACAGAGTGAGGGAAAGTGAGAAAGCGAGCCGCCTGGTTCAAGAGTTGAATCACCATTAACCACGTGAGTCCAGGACCTTAACCACCGCGCCACCTGCTGGCCACCCTCATGCAGAGGAAATGCCCCTCGCCTAAACCTTGCATCCTGTACAGTAGCCTGGACGCCGGCCCGGCGGATCTGCAGGCCTGGAAGAGGTGATTTCGCCACCGCTTCCCGCCTGCTGCTCAGCAGCCCTGGCCGGGCCTGAGCCTGGAGTCTGCGGAAGGGGACTGGGCAAAGTCCGCACCAGGAGAGGTGGGGTTCGCCTAAGGGAGACCATCCCCCTAGGGCGCCGCCCTCACTCAGCACCCCTCTCCTGGGGGCGTGGCATGGCTCCTGGCCATCGACAAGCCCCGCCCTGGGCTGTCTGGCGGACTCAGGTCCAGCTGGGCGGGGTCTGGCTGGGGTGGGGAGGCCGAGCAGGAGCCGGAGGGCAGAGCGGCAGCGAAGTGCTTCCTCCTAGCTTGTCTCGAAGGTCTGCCAGCCCAGGTGAGGGTCCCCAGGGGGCGGGCCTCCCTGGGAGTGCTGTCCTCCCCTGGGGCGATGTCCTCCCCTGGGACGCTGTCCTCCCTGGGGGTGTGGTCTGTGTTGGCCTGGGGGCTGCTCTCCTGGCAGCCGGATGTTGGGTGTGGTCTGTCCTGGTTGGGGGGGAGCGCAGTCCTGGCCTCCTGGCCTGGGGGGCACTGTCTGTTCTTGCTCAGGAGATCTGTCCTGATGGGGTGGAGGGTATGTCCTGGCCTGGGGGGGCTGTCCTGCTGGGGGTTGTGGGGGAAACCCCTGCTGCTGACTCAGGCCTGGAGTCCCTGCCTGTCACCTGGTTGTCTGTATGAGGTGCTGGTTAGGGACAAAGGCTGGGTTTTGTCTGGGTAGGTTACCTGTCCCCGTGCCCCCAGGCCCTGCAGGCCTCTGGGCTCGGGTGGTGTGCAGGGACCCTCCAAGGAGGCACTGCATCATGCCAGCCCTATGGGCCTCAGAGCGTGGGGGGTCTAAAGTAGGCTGCACTGGGGGCTCCAGCAGGTGGGGCCGAGACCCCTTGCCAGACCTCTTGGCCCAGAAGACGTGGGTGCCACAACCACCAACTGGACATCTTGGCTGGGGACAGCGCTGGGCCCCACGTGAACGCATTCCTGGGTCAGTCCTGGCCAGCTGTCCAGGGAGCGTCTGGAGCCAGCTCAAAGGTTTCAAAATCAGATTAGAGAAATTCAAGGTCAGGTTTTCAAACAGAAACCAGAGGCCTGTGTGAGGGAACATGCACTGGGTCCTCTAGGGAGAAGGTGCCTGCAGGCGACAGTAGAGTTCCCGTGGGCTATGCCGTGGCCACCTGTCCCCTGGCTCAGACCTGACCACGGGCTCCCAGAGAGAAGCTGCGGGGTAGAGCTGGGCGAGGGGAGAGCGGGCTGCCACAGGACACGCGGAGGGTAGGGGACAGAAAGTAGCCCCAGGAGGGGCTCTCCTGGTCCTTGGGCTGTGGCCCTAGCAGAGGCCCCTGGACCCACACAACCTGGGCAGGCCAACTGTAGCAGGCCCTGCCTGCTGACCCTACCCAGGGGAGCTCTGAGTCCCAAGGAGGCGTCAGGGCAAGTGGCTTCAGGGGGGACTGCACCTTGGTGGGGGCTGCACTTGGGGGGGCTTCACCTCGAGAAGGCCGCACTGGGAGAGGCAGAGTGTAGAGGGTCCACACCTCAGGGGGTCTGCACCTGGGGGTTCTGCACCTGGGGGATCTGCACCTGGGGGGCCACACCTGGGGGGCCGCATGTCAGGGGTCTGCCCACAAGGGCTGGGGTGTGTTGGCCTCTAGAGGGTACCATGAATGCCCTGCTGTGCAGCCCCACAGGTGCCAGCAACCCCACCATGAGGCTGTCCCGCAAGGAGCAGGTCTTCATGGCCCTGCTGGGGGCAGCAGCAGCCTCGGGCCTCTCAGTGCTCATTCTCATCCTGGTGGAGGCCACCAACGTCCTCCTGCCCGCAGACACCAAGGTGAGGCGGATTGGGGGAGGCAGGGCTGTGGGGGCTGCTGGGGGCCTCAAGGCCTCCTAACCCAGGGCTGCCCCCCAGTTCGGGATCGTGTTTGATGCGGGCTCCTCCCACACGGCCCTGTTCGTGTACCGGTGGCCGGCAGACAAGCAGAACAACACTGGTGTGGTCAGCCAGGCCCTGGCCTGCCGGGTGGAAGGTCAGTGAGCAGCTCTGGGCAGTGGGGCTGGCCACAGGGAGTCCAGCTGGGCAGGGGTCGGGGGGTGTCGCAGGTCCACCCAGTGCCAGGTAAGAGCTGCATCCCCCTCCCTCTGCACACCCAGCTAAAGGGAAGGCGCCCAGAGAGTTAAGGGGCCCAGCCAAGGTCCTCCGCTGGGCAGTGAGTGCCGGGCAAGCCCTTGTTCCCCCCAGGGGCCTCGACCGGTCTGTCCTGTGAGCCCCCCGTCCCTGCCCCACGTGTTGTTCGCGGCTAGCTGTGGGGGCCTGCCCTCCTGACCTGCTTCCTGGGGCCTCCGGTGACAAAGCACATGAGCCGAGCTGCGCCTTGGGTCTTGTCCTGGAGGTCGGCTTCGGAAACCCAGACGCAGTCGTGGCTCAGCTCCCTCTGGAGGCTCCAGGAGTGCTCTTCGGGCCTCCCCTGGGCTGGCAGCGCATGACCGGACTGCTGCCCTCTTCCATGTCTCAAATCTCCTCCCTTCCTCTCACGAAGACACCTGAGTGAAGGCCCTCCAGGGTCCAGGATGGTCGTGTCTCGTCACCTTCACTAGTACCTGGACAGACCTGGTTCCCGAATTCTCTGGCAAGGCGAGGGCAGGGGTATGGGGGGCTTACTGCCAAACAGTACTGGACCTTTCGGCCAGACCGGCCCTGGGGTTCGGAGCCACTGTGCAGGGCACTGTGAGCACACGCATGTGCAGGGCGCCGTGAGCACACAGATGTGCAGGGCGCCGTGTGCACACGCATGTGCGGGGCGCCGTGTTGCAGGGCCTGGAATCTCCTCCTACACCTCCGAGCCTGCACAGGCCGGAGAGAGCCTGCAGGCCTGCCTGGGGGAGGCACTGGCCCTGATCCCCCAGGCTCAGCACAGAGAAACGCCCATGTTCCTGGGGGCCACCGCAGGGATGAGGCTGCTCAGGTGAGGCTTCTGTGCAAAGGGGTGGCGAGGCGGGCGGCGAGGCGGGGCTCCCAACCAGCTGGCCTGGTCCTCTCTGCAGCCGGAAGAACAGCTCTCAGGCGAGGGACATCTTTGCCGCAGTCAGCCGCACCCTCAGCCAGTCTCCTGTGGACTTCCAGGGCGCTGAGCTCCTGGCCGGCCGGGACGAAGGTGCCTTTGGCTGGATCACCATCAACTACTTGCTGGGGAGGCTGGTCCAGGTGCTTGCAGCCCCAGGGCGGGGCCGGCTCGCCCAAGGCCTGGCCGCAGGGCTGTCCGGGCCTGACACGTGTCTGTACTCAGTACTCCTTCTCTGGGGAGTGGATCCGGCCCCCGGAGGGCGTGCTGGCGGGCGCCCTGGACCTGGGAGGGGCCTCCACCCAGATTGCCTTCACACCAGAGGGCCCCATCCTGGACGAGAGCACCCAGGCCTCCTTCCGCCTCTACGGCTATCCGGGCTGAGACCCCCCGGCCCCCCTCCCGCCTCTACGGCTACTCCCACAGCATCTACACCCATAGCCACCTCTGCTTTGGACGTGACCAGATGCTGGCCAGACTCCTGGCTGGGCTGGTGCAGGTCAGGCTGGCGGTTTGGAAGGCTGGGGGACGGGCTCCGGGCGGGTGCTCACGGCCTGCCCTCCCCGCAGAGCAGCCCAGCGGCCCTCCTGCGCCACCCGCGCCACC